TCCTGACCTGAGGATTTAGTGGAGATGCAGTCCTTAAATTCCGTGGCCAAAGGTAACAGCCCTCTTTCTTGTGTGGTAACACCCTAGCCCAGATGATAAAGCTGTGTCCTTGCCAGGGCACGGCCATTTCCATACACAGACACCAGAACCCGTTTTTGGCGTGATAAGCGGCAGCCTCGCTGAATGCACAGGTAGTGGACTCCCCGACTTCCAGAAATGGGCGGCAGGCCGGCTCTTGCTTGCATCGTTCCCTTCCCTCTGGAAGGCTAGGAAAGAAGCCCACCAACAGACAGATCATTTCAAGACACGTTTTCCTCTTGTCCTGAAGGAAAAGAAAGGAACGCAAAAATAGCGACCGCCTGCATTCATCACCCTGCATTTTCTTGCCCTTTTTGATCGTACTGTGACATCCAAGCTGAAACACGACAACACAGCAAACGAAAGCAGAGGAAAAAAAAACACTAACCAGAGAGACGCTGCCCTCAACTCTCAGGCGCGACAGCTGCTTGTCCGAGTCCCTCATCCTCCCAGGGACTAGCAGACGGAAACCCTCGGCGGCTTCCTCAAAAACCCAGCCCCTGGAAAGTCAGAGGGTCAACATTCATGCTCTCAAGGCAACCCCATGGGAAATAAAGACTTCCTTAGCTCAGTGCCTATGATGATACATTTCCTCCATTAAATAAATATCAACAATTAGACCAAAAAATTGTTGAGAAAGCCTTCTACCCTTGGATGGATTTTAAACGTACTTTCCAGCCTCCTAGAAATTGCTCGCATCTTGGATCCTCCTGAATATATTCCCCCATTCTCTCCCTCTCTCTCACACACTTTATTAAGCCGAACACTGTCTTCTGAAGCCAAATGCCAAGTGCACTGAGACGCAGGCCCTACAATCGCTGTAGAAGGAGCGCTTCAGCCATACCATAAAGAAAATCAAGCTGCAACTACACCTTTATTTCAGGAGAAATGCTAATGAAATGAGGCCTATCATCGTTTCTTTCCCCACAAGGCGCCGCCTTCGTGGTGACTCACCTCCGTCTCAGGCCGGGTCTCCCCCCGCTCCTCCATGTGTGGTCCTCCCGCAGCCCTTCCACGGCCCTCTCCGCACAGCATGGGGTCCCCACGGCCCAGCCCACAGCCCCGGCTCCGGCCTTCTCGGCACAGCGCGGGGTCCCGGGCTGACTGCGCGCAGGCCTCGTGCTCACTGCCCCGGGCTCCCCACGTTAGGACAGGGAGGATCGTAAAAGTGCTTGGACTCGAGGGTCACTGCAAAGAAAACACCTGCACCTGAATGGGTTGAGGCTGTAAGGATCACCTGGGGATCTGGTTCAACTGTCTGAAACCCAGACGCTATTCTGGTGCAGGTGGTCTTCGGGTTTTCTTTCAAGATACAGCCTCGTAAACTCTACTGTGTCCATGAACCATGCGGGTGGGAGGGGCAGAAGACCTTGTTAAAGATGCAGACGCTGATTCAGCAGGTCTGGGGGAGCCTGAACCCTCCCTGGGTTTCTAAGAAGCCTCTGTGATAAGGGCGCTATTGGTCCATAGAAATACACTTATTTTTTAGCTTTTTATTTTGTATTGGGATATAGCTGATTAACAAACAATGCTGTGATAGTTTCAAGTGAACAGAGAAGGGACTCCGCCAGGCATGTGCATGTACCCGTTCTCCTCCAAACTCCTCTCCCTCCAGGCTGCCGTATAACTGACCCGCATTCCCTGCGGTCTGCAGACAGAGGGTTTAAGTAGTGAAGGTGGACTGGTAAAGCCCACGACCCTCAGTCAGAAGAGGAAGTGGACCACACTTTTAGACCTCTGTTGCTCCTTGTGAGGCTTCTAGCTGTGTTTACTGTCTAGGGAGCTCTGAAAAGAGCAGCTGTCACCACTTCTATAAACTAAGTACCTAGCAAAGCATGTAACACATTATAAGGATAGTTTAAACAATATTGGTTGAAGATATTTATTCCAAGAGTAAAAGCAGTAACTTGCTAAAGAAAAAAGAGACACTCAGCTATCCAGGTATCTAGAAACCAAAAAGAATGGGGAAAACAGCTGTAAATCCAAAAATGGAAAACAAGAAAGAATTAAAACAAAATTTTAACAAGATAACCAGGCTCTAACAGAGTCCAAGGCCACAAGGAACCCCCCAAAAGCATGTGGAATCAAGGAAATCCTATGCACAAGCTCCTTTCCTTCAGTTTCATTTTCTTCGGAGTCTATCTTGGGAAAATGCTTGCTACAGAAAACTGCTTGCTTTTGCTGATCAATAGATCAAGCAACAGTCAAAGGAGATAAGGAACATCTAGGAAGGGAGTGCACTGGCATTAATAAATGCGGACAGGCCAATGTGAACACTGTGCTCAATTACCATTTCTGTGGACCGAGCAATTTCTGAAAAGTATTTTCAAGCCATAGAACATTTAAGGAGCATCTGGCTCCATTTATGGGAATACTCTGACGCCACTGCCTCCCGATTTTCACCCGGCCCACTCAGACTCAATCCTCTTCCGTTTACCGTTCCAATCTTAATACCCTCCCTACTGCCCTGCGTGACCTGTGTGCCTGCTGCAAGCTAAGTCACTTCAGCGTGTCTGACTCTTGGCGACCCCAGGGACTATGTATAGCCCGCCAGGCTCCTCTGTTCATGGGATTCTCCAGGCAAGAATACTGGAGTGGGTTGCCATGCCCTCCTCCAGGGAATCTTCCCAACCCAGGGATCGAACCCAGGTCTCCCGCATCGCAGGTGGATTCTTAACCATCCGAGCCACCAGGGACACCCTTAGGAATTCAAGTCAAACCCTTTGCCAGTGTTCTTCCAGGTTCAGAAAGAAAAGGGCAAGCCCCAAAGCCTGGCCACAAGTCAGTTTATAATAGGTGCTCTACATCAGTCTACTTTGCTAAGCACCAAACTTTCTCTGTCTTATCATAGGTATCTCTTGGAAATCCCCAATACTCTTAAGCCATTTTGCCAAAACAATGACTAACAGCATATTTATTCAAGTACAGTTCACCCTTTTGCAATGTAGAGACACAAACCCTGCACACAGAGAGCTGTGGGGAAGGTCACGTGAGACCAAGCACATTTGCAGAGGATGCAGTTTAGATGAAAGTCCCGTGTGCAAGGCTGTTTCCCACGTTACACAGTCACAGAGGAGGGAAGATCTTTGACGGAGTGCCAGCTGGGGGATAACTTGCCAAGCAAAACATTGCAGATCCACTGCCAATATCTCCAGATAATTCTTCTCGGAAAGAGAATCTCTTCCTGTGATGAACGAATATTTTGACGGTGATTAATTACAATTATACTGGGGGAGCTGCCTGCATGTCTCCTCCCACAGAATCCTACAAGAGCCTCCCCAATGCCACAGACTACAAAAGGGCGCAACCAAATTTGTTTTAATTGACAACTGACCAGGAAATTGAGCCAAATCTCCAGACGAGACATCTGTCATTATAGTTTCTCCTAAAAAGAAATGGGGCTTCTGCTTGCCCATTAGTGCTGAGTAAAGTCTTTTGTTTGAAAATATTGATCTTTATTTGCATCATCACTCATTCATTCACTGAGCCCTTCACGATGCTTCAGTGAATCTTTTAACACTTAACTTCCTAACAGTAAGTTATTCTGAAAGGAGATTTTACTAAGTTCATTGATCCTCTTTTGCCAAGCTCGCAACTCCTGAATCTGGACAAATTAAACATGGTAAAGATTTCCTATGCCAGTTGAGGGACATTCTCTAGAAATCCAGAAAGCTTTTCTTCAGCTCCAAGACCAAGAAATGAGAGAAAGAAAGAAAGGACAGGGGTGAGGGAGGAAGGGAGAGAGGGTTGGTAAGAGAGAGGGAATAAATCATGTAAGATCCATATTTCCAAAACTGAAAGGACCAAACAATTCAACTAACATATATTAATCTTTATTCTGTAACAGAGACATAAATAATTTTATGAATTCATATGACCTGTACAAAAGACAAAATAAGATATTACACTAAGTTCAGATATGGAATATTTGGATTTACCATTAGCTGAACAGATAAATCTAAACAATCTTAGGAGTTAAGGCAAAACCAGATGATACTTCAAACACAACAGAGGTTTGAAAAATAGGTATAATTAAAAACAAGGGCATCCCATCTCCAGTTAATAAAGTAGTCATGTCTGAGGAAAAAAAAAATCCCTTAGGTTTTAATAAAGTGGCTATTATCAATCATGTTAATTAAAATGAGCAATAAAGTATAAGATTTCCCATGGAGGAGAGCTGTTTTGTGCAGGTTTGAGGATTGAGCACTGAAGAATTCGGATATGCAACTTTTTCTGTGTTAGATTTATGATCTATTCTTCCTACTAGAAAATATAATTTGGAAAATATGACTCTTTCACATATATAATTAAAATACAACTATGAAGCATTTTTTTTTTTTTTTTAAGGGAAGTCGTGTGGGTGATCTCATAGAGTAAATTTGCGGGCAAGCCATTACCCTATTTGTCGAGAAGACAGAGTCAGAAATTACTTTAAGAGAACCAAACTAATCTCAAAGGAATAAAAACAAGTGTAACCAGTATATGGACACAGCACACAATTCTTTGGCAGGATCACACGAATCGTTGATTGAAGTCAGAACTTTATATATAGAGTTCTCTAATTATCAGACCCGGTTGCCGGTCTTTGAAAACTAACTAAATAAAATGCCACATCTGCAACAAATTCAGTGATTCCAGGAAATTAAACTCAGAATAAACCTTGCAGACAGCTTTGAATTGTTACACTAAAGCATAGATGGGTATCAACTGTTTTGAGTCCCAATCCGAGTACACTGAAACACACACAAAAATAATCTGTGGAGCTCGGCACTGGTTCAGACAGGCCTAGCATCCTTACAGAGAATCCACATTCGCCCATGAGAAACCAGTGAAAGACATGAATCCCGTGAAGCGGAAGTGATCCTTAGGAAGCCAGAGGCGGGCCGCCCCTCCCCAGACGAGCATCACGGAGACCGCGAATCCTATAGGGGGAACACCAGGAAGCCAGAGAACGTGGAGTATTGCCAGCCTCCGACCAAGTTACCTTTCTCCAGTTTTAGGTAAACCTTGTCCTCCTTATCCAGGTAGAGCAGGACCCCGTTCGTGGCAGCCTCACGTGTCACGTCTTTATCCCCGGCGAAGGCAGATATGACTGGTTTTCCGTTTAACATCAGGTTAACCTATAAGAACAAAACAAGACACCGAAGAGCTCTCTCTCAAGTCAAATGAATGAATGAATGAATGAAACAGATTCACGTTTATAGAGAACTAGGGTTACCAGAGAGGGGAAGACAGGGGGAGGGGATTAGGAGGTAACACTGGCTGTGTAGCAAATGAACAGGCTCCGAGGATATATGTGTACAGCACAGGGAGACACAGTCATTATTTTATAATCGCTTTAAATGGAGTGTAATCTATAAAAATATTGAATCGCTATGTTGTTCACCTGAAACTAACAATATTGCCAATCAACTATTCTGCAATAGAAAGAAAGAAACAAGGAAAAGAAGGGAGGGGGGCGTGGGAGGTAAGGAAGCAAGCATCTTTCTACAGAACATCTACAAGGGTCCAGGGTCAAGGGAGGAAGTAATGTCTAAGATGATCAACCTGGTAAAGTATCTGATGTCCAGTAAATACATCCCTTTCCTTTCAAATTAGCTAACTGTGACGGCTAGGCTTAGTATGATCTTACTGAGCTGATCTTTTTAACTTGAAAAAAAATTAATTTCTCCCACAAAAATTTCCTTAAATGCTCACAGAAGATCACCATCCACAGAGAAAAATCGAGCCATGTGAAACCTGACTTCCCCTCAGGACATAAATCAGGCCTCCTACTTTATTTATCTCTCATATTCAACAGCAAGTTTTCGGTGAGAACACATGCCTGAGGCTTCCCAGTGCATTAGTGAGAATAACGCCGCCCTTTGCTCTGAGAAGTTCGGGGACAGCAAGGCTCTACTAACATCTCTGCAGGTTGACTGTGCAGCCGAGACATGCATAGTGCTAGATAAACATCAGCTGAAATTATAGAATATGAGTGTCCACTGTGATTTCTTCTTGTGTTTTCCCTGATAAGAAATGTACATTAAAAATAATAATCACTACTACCACTGAAGATTTTAATGATGGATAATTAGCAACAAATCAAATTTATTACCACTCCATAGTAAAATTTTGATTATACTCTGTCAAATATTACCTAAATTTCTAAATATTGGAGTTTGGGAAAAGCTTTCCCATGGGAGTAAATTTGTTTACTAGATATTCATTCCTTTTATGTCAAAAATTAATATTGAATAAATTATGAGGCTGATCAATTTATCCATTCACTAAGATATGTAAAAGTGGTAGATGTGTAATCTAACGTTCATCTGGACACAATGTGACTCAGTGGTAAAGAATCTGCCTGCATTGCAGGAGACGTGGGTTCTATCCCAGGGTTGGGAAGATTCCCCTGGAGAAGGAAATGGCAACTCACTCCAGTATTCTTGCCTGGAGAATCCTATGGACAGAGGAGCCTGGCGGGCTACAGTCCATGGGGTCACAAGAGTTCATACACAACTTAGCAACTAAACCACCATCACCAATATACAATACAAAAATTGAACAGATGATTTTAAAAGTATCCCAGAATTCCATAGACATATACTGGTATTACTGAGTGTCCGCATATTTGAATATTATAGGAATTAGCTCCATCATTGTACTTGAGTGTGAGTTCAAGCTTGTTCCTTAGAAAGCACAGCACAAAATATATTAACTGTGGAACTGCAATTGGTAAGAATTCACTAATTTCAGAGTAACTGAGGATAAACTACTTAGAAGATAAACATAGCATATCCTTTATTTAAAAGTATATTGAATAATTGTTCCTTTAGCAATTTATTTTCTCTTAGTTGTTAACTGCAGTTCATAATTTTTAACAATGACAGCAAATTTGTTTTATTTATTTAGTAGGTACTTGTAAAACTCTGATAGTATTTTTTGTTGTTGTTGTTAAAAATTCAGGTAATTTTTGCACATGCATTAAAAGCAACCAAGGTCTTATAAAGAGATTTGTGCCACTGAATTTTTACTAACTATTTCCTTCCTTCCTCCCTATTTTCTTTCTTAGCAGAAAATAGCTTTCTTAACAGCTTTTTAAGTGATTGGTTGTTATTAAGGTAATAAGTTCAACTGTGTATTTTTCTATATGCTTCTTGTCACATATTTTTCTATATGCTTCTATGCTTCATAGAAGGTGTTACTGGAAATTACATGTTTTAAAAATTACTATGAAGATGGCTATTTTTACAATGATAACACATAAATACTTAAATACATAGCCCACTATAGATAAACAGCATCATTTCAGGGTAGAGAGGGAACAGGTCAAAAGACATACCTGTATTGTTTGGCTCTGGTATACTTTAATTACGTGAAAACTGAAACTGTAAATTCCTTTTCTGGGTGCTACAAAGACAGACTCCAGGGTGAAAAAATTACCCACGTTTACTAGAATCTACAAATAAAAAGAATAAACACAGTCAACTATTACAATACTCTCTGTAAGTAAAATCAGTGTTCTTCCTTCCCTTTTCTTTTCCTTCCTATTTTCTTCCTTAGCAAAGAAAACTAGCTTTAAAAAACCACAGGAAATAAAACATGGAGTTATATTCCCTTTTGCTTTAGTGACTTGGAAAACAGATTTGTATGTTGGAAGGTTGGTCTTTTTAATGTTAGAAGAAAAAAATAAAGTCAGAGCTTTGTATTCATGCCTCGATTTCCAGCAAGGCCGGCTGGCTCTGAACATGTGAGGCTTATAAATACTGGCTGTACCTTCAGAGTCAGAAAAAGGCATCAGCCCCACGTCTACATGCCCACCCTCTGGAGCCTTCACATGTCCAGAGATGGCGTTCCCAGGCCAGCCAATCGCATCCAGGCTCTCTACAGGCCCTCCTGGACGCATGCACAGAGGTCTGGATGCCCCCTCCACCAGGCGGCATGATCCGTGACACCGAACAGCTGGTGCCCGAGTAATGCGAATGCCTGGCCCTCCTCTGAGACTCCGCCAAGCCTCAGCTCAGATCCACAGCCACGCGTTCCCTTCCTATGCCACCCAGGTCTTAACTGTAAATATTTTGGCCATGATGGAGCCTTTGCAGGCTGCCAAGGAGTAGAGACTGTGAAACAGGTGGCATTCTCTGTTCTCCCCAGTGTTAGCGTCCGTGCCCTGATCAATTGCCTGCTGTTTGTTTAAAAGCTCAAGGGACAAAAAGGAAGACTGAAATAAAGTGCTGGTTCCCAAGAAAACAGCAGTGCATTCTGTATTCTGAGATGTTCAGCTTAGTTCTACTGATTATGAAATTAACTCTGCATTTCAATAGATGACCTCTTAAACTAAATGCCACATGTGACAGAGTGAGAGAATGTGTGTGTGTGCGCGTATTGGGGATGGGGGTAGCAGGCAGGGTATAACTAAGGTTTCTTCGTTTCTCTCCAAGAAATAAATCTAGAAGTGGCATTCAAAAAAATCAGATGTCCTTACAAAAATACATTTCCCCCATATCAATGGCAATCCGCTACTCTTTCTTTTAAACACTACATTCAGGCTAATGTTAAGCCCTTTGCATAATTCCCTAGACATACTATTACCTGTGAGCAATGCATCAGAATATGGTGACGGTCAGGTAGATGTACCACGCTCAACCCCCAACTTAAAATGCATATGTGTATATCATTTTATTCTGCGATTACTCCTTTTTCCAAGTAAGCATCAGATTTCTTTCTCTGACCCTATGATCGACGGTCTTTCAGCAACAGATCACCAGCTATGCAATACTTCCCAACAGAGGTTTTACAAAGATTTCTTTAAGCACATTTAAAATAATTTGAGGTACTTAGCAGGGACTTCCTGAATCAGACACAAGTAGCATAATTCATTAACAATAATGGAGCTAGCTGATTAGTGTTGACTACACATAAGGCTGAATGTTGACTGTACATTGTAATTAGAGCACCCAGGCACCTCGAGATTTATTACCAAATGTGTCTTATTGTCTCCAAGATGCAAGAGGACCCAGAACAGGAGAGCAAAGCCTTCTTCTCTTCTAGATGACAGAAAGGTCACTGAACAGAATGCACTGTACAGAGGACAGTGCAGGGCCCACAGTATTTAATTAACGCACTGAAGTACAGACCAGGGGTCATGCTAGACTTTATTTCCATCAAGATGAAAAATACTGCACCAAAACCCAAAGGGGGTGCTTAATTCTTTTCAAATGATGGCTATTCCATAGGAAGCCCCACAGAGGCATTCTCTCTCTTTGACCCGCTGGAGAGTACATTACTTAGTAACAAGTAAGTAAGGAAGAGAAATGTCACCTCACCGCTCCCCAGGCACATCCTGCAGCGCCACTTAACCCATGCCCGTGCCCATGAGGCATGCCACTGTGAACCACACACACAGGACTTTGGAATTTAAAAGACTCCGGGTGCAGCAGACGTTGAAATGATCAGCCTGGAGTCTGTTTTCAGTTGTAAGGCTCCTTCCTCAGCCTATCCTGGGGTTTCCCAGCAGCCAGACCCCCGAGCTCCGATCGCGAAGATGAAGCTCCAGTGGCCAACAGCCGCTCCCTGTCCCCTGTCCTCAGCCCCCAGCCCTCTCTCCCCACTACTTCCCGGGTCTCTGAAAGGGCAGGAACGGGGGGCGGAGAAAGGCTTCCCGGCGCTTCCCTACAGGAGCTCAGCGCCGCTGCCCATTGCTTCTCTCCTCCTCTCAACTTTTCTCCAAGTAGCGGAGGAGGGCTCTCTTAGGCAGCCGCGCCTGGGACTGAACCGGGTGCGAGATCTGACCCGGGCCCCCGCTGCCGCCTCCGCAGCCCCCTGCGGGGTCTGTGCAGAGTGTGGACCCCCCCAAGCCACCCCGCCCAGGGCTCCCTCTAGGGAGAAGCTTCTCCATCCGGGAGGAACACTATCCTCTGTTCGGCCCTGCAAAGAATCCCCCTGCCTGCCGGGGGACTGCCTCCGCGGCCACCGCAGAGGAGTGGAGGCTGGGCGCCAGGCTTGCGCCGAGAGGAGGTGCAGGGACCAGGAGCCGCTGGCTCTGGCAGACCTGTTGCTGCTCAGCGCGTCCCAAGCTCTCCCTGCGGCTCTGCGCTGCCAGCCCCTCTCCCACCGCCCCAGCAGCTCTCCGGAGGCCAGGAGGGAGTGGTGGCGGGCTGGGGCGGGGGAGACCTCAGAAGTTTCGGATCCCTACTCACGGAGACGCCAGTGCCGACCAGGCTTCCTGCACCGCAATCAGGGCGGCTCGGCCTGAGCAGACGACCCGGGGCTCAGCCTCCTGCACGTCGCCCCTCCCGCTACCCGAGCCCTGGCCTCCCGCGCCCCCGGGGCTCTGACCTGGTCGAAGTAAATGATGCGCGTCTTGTTGCTCATCTCGGACGGCTCGTGGTTGGTGCTGCGCACCGCCGAGAAGGCGACCTTGGAGTTGGCCGCCCGGACCGAGATCCCCAGGGGCGAGGAGGAGCCCTTGGAGTCCGTGGCCGGGTTCGAGTCGCACACCACGAGGCACTTGCCCTCCAGCACGATGGGCTCCGTGTCGTTCTGCGCCCAGACGCGCAGCCCCGGCAGGGTGAGGGCCAGCAGCAGGGCCGGCAGGGCGGCCGGCGCCCGGCGCCCGGGGCCCATGGCGAGCGAGGCTGGGGGCCGCCGCAGCCGGCCGGCGTTCCCTCGCGCCCGCGTGGCCTCCTCCCCGGGACCCCGGCGCTGCGGACGGTGCGGGCAGCTAGATGCACCACGCGGCGGGGCCGGCGGCGGCGCGCACACCTCCAGCAGCTCCGTGGTTTGAAGTCAGAGTTCCCCCTCGCGCTGTCTCGCTGGCTCTGCTACCTTCGTCCTTTAAGGAGCTCATGCAGAACCCCCTCCCCCGCCCTCCTCCGCCCGAGATCAGCCCTGCCTGGGACCCCCGCACCCACCCTTGTTCCTAGGCATCTAAGTCGCCGAACCCTCCCATTCACCCCTCAAAGAGGAAAATGATCAGAATCCTTCACCCCAAACCTAAGCTCCCCCAGGTGAAGCGCGCAGCAGGAAAAACCAAGGGGACTCGGAGAAGCCCCGCGGATGCTGGGGGCCGGTCGGGGCCAGGGTCGTCCCGGTTCGTCTCCGGCTGGCGGCGGGGACGGATCACAGAAGCCGAAGGTGTTTCCCGGAGCGGCAAGAACCCGCGGCTGTGTTCATGGCCAGGTCTCTAGCGACTCTCGATCTCGCTTGGTCAAAAAATTCCCCAGAGCTTGGCGTCTCTCGGAAGGCGGCAGGGCGGCAGCGGCTAGCCGGGTCCTCAGCAAGGAGGCAAAAATCCGCGGGATCCGCTGCACGGCGACGGGCGGCTGGCCCCGGAGCCCTCGCCCGCCGCCGCCGCCGCCGCGCGCCGCGAGCCCCCGCGCACAACTTTCCGTGTCCTCGCGCAGCCGGGGGGCGCGAGGCGGGCACACGCGCGCTATTTATAGGAGCGCACGCGGGCTGGGCTTGGCTCGCCTCTCAGCCCGCCGACCCCCCGGGAACGGGAAGACGGCCGGGGACCCTAGCTAAGCAGCTCCCGCCTGGCCTGGAACAGACTCCCGGCACGCGAGGCGCACGGCTCTGCCGGCCGCCGAGGTCTGAGGGCCCCCAGCCCCGGGGGCGCGCGGCACCTAGACTGTGCGAGGGACTGGCGCCCAACGCACCGCGCCCGCCCGGCTTCCGCGCCCGCTAGCCCCCTCCTCGGTGCGGGCTGGCGGAGAGGGCCGAGGCGACCCGGGACTCCGCCGCCGAGAGGAGCGCGGCGCTACCAGCCCCGCCCGCGGAGCGAAGGGCGGCAGCGGCGGCGCGCGGCTGGGGACCCAGGGGCCCGCGCCGCCGGCCCGACCGCGCCCAGCGCAGCGCCGGTCTCGCCAAGCCCGAGGGCCCGGAGACTTCCGGGGAGCCTTGGGGTAAGCCGGAGCCGCTGGGAGCAGGCGCCCGAGGCCTCCTGCTCTGGAAAGGGGGGCCTCACAAGCCTCTGGGTGCACCTTCCCCCCACACCGCCAGTCCATCCCAGGCAAGACCAGGAGAGAAAGGGAGTTAACTCAGCAAGAATCAGTCCTCGGAGCCCTAGCCCTCCAACAGCCAACCCCTCCGGAGAACACTGCACCTCTGCCCCTCTCCGTGTGCCGCCCTCGCCCTGTGCCTGCCCAGTGCCATCTTGGCCTCTGATTGGCACGGCTTAGCGGCCTCCTCTGCAGCCCCCGCTGGGAGGGAAAGGCTTGTCTGGTGACCCGCTGCCTGAACTTGACCAAGTCACTCATCTTTCTGAGACGGAGGGGCTCCACTAATCAAGGCCCTCCACTTCTGTGACGCTTTGGGGTCATCACTCCCCTCCCAAATTCCTTTCAGACTCCCAGCTGCCCAGCTGTCCCAGAGGACAGGCCCTAGGTCTTTAATCAAACAGAAGGTGTTTATTGAGCAATGTCCCCCAGCTGGATGGCGTCCTACTCCTTCCTGAATGAAGAACACCCTCTTGAGCCTAACATCAGACCTGTGTCTCCAGGCTTGTCCCCTCATCAGGTCCTTCCAGAGGGCTATGTGTTGAGCCACAAGCATCGCACTGCAGCTCCAATTGTTAAAATCAGAAATACTTCTACCAAATGGTATTTCCCCAGCCCCTACCTCCATATAATCTTGCAACTAAGGTTCCTGGAGCCAAAGGGGCCTACAGAGTGTGCTCCAGTGAGGCCAGTATCAGCTCTGATCATGGGGCCCGGTGCCCTGCTGTTTGTCAACTGTCGAGTCACTAATCCACCCCAAGCCTAGCGGAGCTTTTCACCTGACCCCTGGCCGCACTTTGTACCTCTCTCCTGGCTTTTAGCACAACCTGCTGCGAGAGCCGCTGCAGCTTTTTCTCATTTGATGCTGCCTTTTGAGGACAGGGACTGGATCTAATTTGGCTCCCCTTTGCCTCCTGTAGGAGTACTCTGCCTTTCTGGTCCAAAACAGTTCTTTAGTAACTAAGACCTGGGCTGTTCAATTTCAGGCTGGAAAAACTTGGAGGAAAAAAAGCTCTGTTGACTACAACAGTTGTAAATAGTCAATTAAGTTGTCTTCCCTGCAACCCCAGTATATTCTCCCAGCATCCTTGTCTTCTCTGGGTGTCTTTCTTCCTGCAAGAACTCGGGGTTTAAAGAAACTTCTTCCCTCCCTCTTTTCCTCTCTACAAAGTACTCATTTTGTAGCCCCCAAATCCAGCGTAGTGACCATATTAGGGACTCAGAAATTGATTGTGAAATGACTTGACTCCACCAGAGAGAATGTCAGTATCAGCCATTCACCTTGTAATATAAACTGGCTTAAATTAATCTCTCTCAGTAAAATTTAAATGCAATGCCTCCTAGGTAACTGGAGATGAAAGTCTTGGTTCCTTACTAACAGATGGTCCCCTATTTAGGGGGTTCTAAAGATGCGGAACACTGCATTTTCTTTTGACTCCTACTGGAGAAGCAATCTGACATGGTAAATCACAGGGCCTTGTCTCCCATTCCCATCACAGGTGATTGAACAAGGGGAGACCCTGGGTTCTAGGGCTGTCAGTCCATTCGGTACCAGAAGTCTATGTTTCTGTGTCCTGATTCCACCAGATAAAGTAGGGCTGGTGCTTTTCTCTGGGATCTGACTGGGGCACAGATGGTCTCCAGTAAGCACTGGGTCCTGCGGAGGAGAGGCCTGTCATCTCCTGAGCTGGCTGTCCACGGGCCGTGTGCAAGTTTAAGCAGACGGGCATGCTGGAGGAAACAGGAGGTGACCACTCCGGTGGACAGAGGCCAGTTCTCTGCACTTCTGAGACATGGAAGGAGTGAGGGAGTGAACCGTCTTCAGCTTGTCACTCCTAGTCACAAGATGTCCAGCAACCTTGAGTTTTTTGAGAGGCTCCTGCATCCTTGTAATAAAACTCATTTCACTTGAGCTGATTGTAGTAACCTACTACTGTTCCTCACCATTCAGGATCCTCATTAGAACTACATCCCAGAAATCATACCACACAAGCCCTTGCATCTCCTGCCAAAAGGCATTACCAAATCCAATTCCCTGCCTGTGGGGCATGTTTTCCTAACATCTGGGGAACAGAAGCATCACCTGCTCCCCAAGCTTTCTCCAGCCCCAGCATCCCCAGGAGGAAAGAAACAGGATCAAATCCAAGTTTCATTCCAGCCACAACACATATCTGCTTCTTCCTTCCCTCTCTACCTACCTCCTTTCTCTTTCTTTCTTGTTGCAGATGTACTATTAAAAATCCTAGTTGTGACTGTGACACAAATGTGTCACTTTTCTGAGATTCCCAGGCTTCATCTGATTCTAGGAATTCTGTTGCTAGACCTTTAGCAATTTCACTTCTCTGCATCTGTGCACATCGTAAAGTAAATTATTAGAAGTATTAAAATCTGAACTATTCTTGCATAGGACAGTAATACTCCTGTGGTCAGTAACATTCCATTATATTTATGTACCTTATTTTCTTTATCCATTCATCCATCCATTCATGGACATTCAGGTTGCTTCCAATGTCTCGGCTACTGTGAATAGTGCCACTATGAATCCTGGGGTGCTTTCCAAACACTGGTATCTTTCCAAATTAGAGTATTCCACTTTCTGGGTATATATCCAGGAGTAGGATTGCTGGGTCATATGGTAGGTCTATTTTTAGTTTTTTAATTCACCTCCATACTGTTCTCCATAGTGACTATACCACTTTACCTTCCCAGCAACAGTGTAGAAGGGTTCCCTTTTTTCTCCACACCCTCTCCAGCATTTATTATTTGTAGATATTTTGATGATGGCCATTCTGACTGGTGTATTTTGTAGTTTGATTTGCATTTCTCTAATAATTAGTGATAAATCATCAGGATCAAATCCACTCTAATAAAATGTCTGTCTGTAATGTGGGAGACCCTGGTTCAATCCCTGGGTCAGGAAGATCCCCTGGAGAAAAGCATGGCAACCCACTGTAGTATTCTTGCCTGGAGGATTCCATGGACAGAGGAGCCTGGCAGGCCACAGTCCATGGGGTCTCAAAGAGTTGGATACAATTAAGTGACTATCACTTTCTTTCTTTTAATAATTAGTGATGTTGAACATCTTTTCATGTGCCTATTGGCCATCTGCTTATCTTCTTTGGAAAAATGTCTATTTAAGTCTTCTGCCCATCTTTTGATTAGGTTGTTTTCTTTTTTAAGAGGGATATTGAAAATTTTGATCCATGCTTAGGTCCAAGAAAGGGAGGCCAATGAGACAAAGGGGATTTATTGGAAGGACTATATGTCACAAGTCTAAGGGCAAAACTGAGCCTTGGGAATGTAGCGAAGCCTTGTGGATAACCCAGAATGTTGCCTTTCCTCTCTATCTAGCATCTATCTATCAACTTATCTACTGTCTACTACTAAATATCTAGATCTATCATCTACCTGTCTGTCTATCATCTATCTATATCTCCATGTCTCTCTCTTTCTGGCACAACTTCCCGGGTTTTGCTCACTGCAATCCAGCTTTCTCTGAAGCCTACATGATAGACAGTGGCCACTGACACCCCCAAACTGTAGACATGACAGACCCATCCCCCCAGAGGGGCCCCCGAGTCTCGGGGAAGAGATGCCCTGCCCCTGGGACCATGCACACCCCTCGCAGTGCACGCACAGTGACTCTCATAACTAGGTGTGTGGAGAACTGGAGCAGGCTCCAGAGGAGAGTACAGTTCCTGAAAACTCCTGCAAGTAATGCGTGATGAAGGGAAAAGGAGCCAGACACAGATTAGTCTGTAATGTGTGATTCCATGTTAGCAGACTGCAAGTGTATATAGATATGGATATTTTTGTTATTCAAAGGAAAAATATGAAAAAGTAGATGGCAAATTGTTAACAGTAGAGAAACAAAGTAAAAGGAAATTAAACAATTTTACTTCATCAGTTTATGATTTGAATGGCCACAGCAATCATATATTACCTCGTGCTTCACATTTAATATTGTTTTTTTAAAGGAAAAGGGTGCTGGAAAGAATGCCCAATAGAAATCTACTACATTGACTTTTTTTTAATATAATTTAAACTTAATTAAAGTTTGGAGAGAAAAAGAACTAACATTCTTTTTCATAAGCTGAATTGGTTGAACTACAATTTCCTTTCTTTTGTCATATTGATCCAACTCTAAAAAATAATTCACTCAAAGTCTAGGAAGACACCCAGACATATAAAGCCTCCTAGTCCACATTTAAGAAAAAAAGTTACATTGCAACTGGTAAAGCTCATGAGTCGTATCACAATAGCTGATTACATTTTAGTTGAGCCCAGCTCCTCATAGAACGTGTCAGCACCTGAGAACAATCACAGCCCGTGCTGGTCACGTTCGTTTCTGTCGCAGACACAAGGAGGATCTGGATGTAGCGTCCAAATCAGTGGCTTCTCATAAGAATCTGCTGGGAGGCTTATCTTCAGTGCAGATCCTCTGGCCCTAGTCTGAGATGGTGGTTCTTCTCACAAACTGGAAATGTGTTTCTTAACCAACACCTGGGTGAACCTGAAGCAGATGGCACTGTGACTTTGTAGATGCCACTAGTGGGGTACATCCCCCAAGGGTCCTTATGCAGTCAGGTTATTATTCCTTTGGTTGAAAATAGGGCACTTAGATCAGCTTCATCTTCTACTGGCTCTATGACCACAGGGGAAGTTACAGACCTTCTTTCAGTCAGGAAAACTGCAATTATAAAAAAAAATAGTCCATAGTTCATGGTGGGGATTGAACAAGGAAGCATAAGAAGGGTGCTTAGCTCAGTATTGGGAACACAAGAAGTGCTTAATTAAGAGTAGTGACTGTTATCGTTAATTCCTGGAAACTATTCATGACTTAAGGCAAGGGCGCACCACAGCACCCTGGACCAAGGCTCATTGACTGCTGGCGAGAAGCGGTCACAGTTGAACCTCACTGACATTATAACAGGAGAGAACACAGCTCCCCAAGCAGAGGAGAGACTCAAGTTCCAGATGCCTAGTGCAGACACAATAACCAAAGTCAATCTGTGGGCAAGCTTTCACCATTAGATGAGTGCCTGAGCTTTAGAGCGATGAGGCTGACAAGAGTTAAGCTGCAATGATTCTACCTGGCTAAAGCCCAACTTAAGAAGGCTGAGTGTTGAAGAGTTGATGCTTTTGAACTGTGGTGCTGGAAAAGACGCTTGAGAGTCCCTTGGACTGCAAGGAGATCCAACCAGTCCATCCTAAAAGAAATCAACCTTGAATATTCATTGGAAGGACTGATGTTGAAGCTGAAACTCCAATACTTTGGCCACCTGATGTGAAAAACTGACTCATTGGGAAAGACCCTGATGCTGGGAAGGATTGAAGGCGGGAGGAGAAGGGGACGACAGAGGATGAGATGGTCAGATAGTATAACTGACTCAATGGACATGAATTTGAGCAAACTCCAGGAGACAGTGAAGGACAGAGGAGGCTGGCGTGCTGTCATCTGTGGGGTTGCAGAGAGTCGGACACGACTTAGTGACTGAACAACAACCACAAAGCTCTTAGGTAAAACTAAGGCACCAGGCAATTTGTGAGCTTCCTGCAAGAACAGTCAAAGAGTTTTGTTTTCTTTTTTATTTCTTCCTTCCCCATTCTCTTAATCATGGGGTCTCATCACTCAGAGTATCTGAGAGATGTGTTTCGTGAAAGTGGGAGTCAAGCACGGGTGGTGGGAAACAGCCATCAAGGTCAGAGGAACCGGAAAGCCATGTGCGGATGGGAGCCAGATGGAGGTGTCCTGAGGAGCTGGTCATCCAAGTACTTATTTGGCAGTTGAAGGTCCTAGAAGCGTTTCATTTCCCTGAGCTTCTCTATCCATCTTGAGGGGGAAGAGGGAGAAAGCTTCAGTCCACAAGGTCGCCCTCATCTCTACTGCCCTTCACAGCACCTGCCTGGGGGGAGTGTGGGGAAGGAGGCCTGAACTGGCGGGGAAGCAGACAGGCTGCGTCCCCATTGCCTCTCTTAGATGAGCCTCTCTCATGGATGCATGTGACCTCGTGTTTAAAGAGAGGTATCTTCCTACAACACAGCCGCTAAAAGCAAGCCAACCCCTTTGTCTGGCTCCCAGCTGAAAAAACGGCAATCTGTTTTGACTCTGATGGAAAATGTACTGATGGTGGGCTCCCTGGGAGTGGCTGTGTCAGCTGCCACTGTCAGAATTCCAGGAGCACTTGACCTGAGCAGTGCTCCCCTCAGGGCTTCCCAAGTGGCGCTAGTGGTAAAGAACCCGCCTGCCAATGCAGGAGATATGGGTTTGGTCCCTGGGTCGGGAGGATCCCCTGGATGAGGGCATGACAACCCACTCCAGTATCCTTGCTTGGAGAATCCCATGGAGAGAGGAGCCTGGTGGGCCACACTCCATGGGGTCACAGAGAGTACACGGCTGAAGCAACTTAGCATGCATACATGTGCAATGTTCCCTTTGTGTGCTGAGTTTAGCGTCTAACCCCGCAATACATTGCAACTCCATTGGTTCCCCTCTATGTCTGGAGAAGCCTCAATTGCTGATAAATTCTCCCATTTAACTGAGATATAGATCTTTATCTATATCTTTATCTGAGATATGTTACCACCCTGATTTCACAGATGAGGAAAGAGAGGGTCTGAGAGGCTGTTGTAGAAGGGCTGGATTTGATTGCAGGACACCTGTCTTCATGTCTTTCCCATAAGACCATACAAGAAAGGCTGAAAAGAAAGTGCAATGGAGCTTTTGGTATGTTCAGAACTAATTTTTTGCCTGTGATGAACCAAATTCAGAAGAGAAACTGATTGTATCTATAGAAGTATTAATATCAGAAGAGAACAAACAAGAATGAAACTTAAGGAATAAGAAGAGAGGTCTCAGATCACAGAATTCTAGTAAAGCCATTGACCATAAGCCCAAGGTGGAGAGGCATAGGCATCTGTGTGCGTATAAACATACATAATGAATTAAATAGCAAACGTTTATATGTGTCACTAGATACATTAGATGCTGTCATTAGATGCACGGTCAGATCAGCTCATGACCTCAGAGTTTTGTGTGCGTCTCATTTACAGTGATCCCCAGGGTTGCAATTTCACATTCACTGTCTTTTCATGTGACTCAGATGCTCTTCCCCATAGTGCTGTAAGTTCCATGAGAACTGCTTTTTGCTCACCATAATAGAGCTGATTTCTCACAACAGTTCCTGGCGCATAGTACACATGTGTTAGATATTTGTTGAAGTTAAAGAATAAAGCGATGTGGCATAGATTCTAACTTTGGCTACCTTCTCTGAGTGTATTTCCAATTACAACACTAGTTTCAAAATTTTACTTACATTTTCTCTAACCCTCATGCATTCTTCATGATCTGTAATAACCCCCACTCTGTACCTGGAAATCTGATATGTTTCAGGGAAAACGTTCAGTAGCCCTTCCTTCCCCTGGACACCTGTCTTCACAGCTGTGCCACGTTTTCCCTTCCTCATGCTGGGTTGTGAGTGTCTCAGTTTTGGCCAAGCTACTGGCTCAGCCACTTTCTTTTCTGCCCCTGGGGTTCTGATAATGCCTCCTCTTTGTTAGATTGTGGGCTCAATGAAGCAAAATCTGCCCTTTGCCTACTAATTGGGTACCTGCAGGATTCTAGGAACAGTTCCAAGGTGAGAGGCTATGGCTTCTGAATCCGTTGGCTTCTGGCTTCTGGCTATCTGGGCTGGCTGTGGGCATCCTGAATGATAAGCAATACACCAACTAACTTGACACTCTTGGCCATCTGTCTGTTGGCTAAATAACTACCTCTTGGATAAACCAACTTATCACTGAGGCAGCTGGTGTTTGAGAGATTGACTGAGCTGAACAGCTTCTGGGTTGGGTCCAATATTTCCTGACCACAAAAAAAAAAAAAAAAAAGAATTCACAGGGCTTTGAATGAGCTTTGTGGAGTCTTTATAAAGCAAAAGAGATAAGAAAAGCAAAGTGAATGAGGAAATAGATGGGCTGTGCTTCAGAGCGCAGCTTTTTGCAGCATGGGTCACCGCACTCCCCTTGTGGCCGTGTCTCATTCTGTCTCCCTTTTACCATCCACACAGCCTCCACTCTTCTGCTTTTCTAACTCTCTTCCTTTATTTTTTCTTCTCAAGTTCCCAGTCTTACACTCCACTCAGCCAATAGGCAATTAGGGCTTAGACAGGGCGTTAATTAGGGCAAGGGTGGAGACTCCAGTGCTGTCAGGACCGTGGCTGGCATCTGCGACTCTTTCTGGCTACTCAAGGGTAGAAACCCCTTCTCACCTCTGGGACCCTTCTCCTCAAGGCGCAGAGCTGAGCGCACCAGACAGTTGTGTCTAGCTTCCCTTGCAGCTAGGGTACAAGCACGTGACCTAAACTCTGCCAGTCAGACACCCCCCACCCATCGTTGAATTAGCAGTATGCATGGGGCAGCAGGGAACTCACGGAACCCCTTCTGGGGAGAGAGGAAGCTGGCGCCACTGTTCTGGGGCAGAAAGAGCACCTCGGGCCTGGAGCAGGTGACACATGCACAGGAGGCCATGTGTGGGTCTGCGGGAGGCAGCCACGGCTGCGGTCCGGTCTCGGCAGCCTCAGCTCAGGGGGGAAAGCTGTGTGCCCCCCTGGGTGCATCAGCCCCAACCCCGGCCTTCCGTCCTCTAAGAGCCTATGAGCCACTGGATGTGAGTGCTCAGCACTCGGTCCTGTCTGACTCTGCGACCCCATAGGACTGCAGCCCACCAGGCTCCTCTGTCCATGAGATTTCCCAGGCAGGAATACTTGAGTGGGTTGCTATTTCCTCCTCCAGGGGATCTTCCTGACCCAGAAATCGGACTCATGTCTCCTGTCTCCTGTGTCTCTTGCATTGGCAGGAGGATTCTTCACCATTGAGCCACCTGGGAAGTGTCAAACCACTGAGTATACTCTAATAGATTCCTTTTCTACCAAATCAGTCGGTCAGCTCTTGTTGCTTGCAAGTGTGAGTCCAGATGGACACTGGAGCTAATCAGGAGCCATAAATGGGTGATGTCAGAAGGAGGGAATCGTGGAAAGGTAGATCATTTCCACCTCATCTTGAACAGGCAGCTGCTAGTAAACCTGGTTCAATGCCAGATGTTTGATTTTTTTTTTTTAAAGATAAGTTCTGATTTTTTTGTGAAACTTTTACTTTTAGATATTAGCAACTCATCCAAAAATGTTTGGGAGGTACACAAACATGACTGTATGCTACAAATAGCTCCAGAACTGCCAGTCTGCATTCTCTTTACTTTTTATTTTTGTCATTAATGTGTTTGTGGTGTTTTTGTTTTTGCTTTTTGTTTTGTTCTGTTTTTTATTTTTAAGAAACATTTCAGAATATCTGTGACAGAGAGGCTTCTTTGAAGTAACATTCCTTTTTGGAAGTGCAACGCTTTTTAAAAACCTTGATTTTTGGCCTCACTGAGCAGCTTGTAGGATCTTAGTTCCCCAACCAAGGATCAAACTTGCACCCCCAGCAGTGAAAGTGCTGAGTCCTAACCACTGGTCCATCAGGGAAGTTTTGTAATGTTCTTATTTCCCACTCAAACTCTACACTTTACAGGAGCTTGACTAGCTCACAGATTTATTTATTGCCTGTGCTGGGTCTTCCTTGCTGGGTTTTCTCTGGTTGCGAGTGGGGCCTGCTCTCTGATGGCGAGGATGTTCTCTTTTTTATGAGGATGCCCAGGCTCCGCACTGTGCGGCTTCTCTTGGTGTGCAGCGGGGGCTCTAGGCACGCGGACTTTGGTAGGTGTGCCTCGGGGGCTCTAGAGTCAGGGTCAGTAGTCGTGACGCACAGGCTTAGTTTCATGTGGGATCTTCCTGGACCAGGGATCCAACCCATGTCTCCTGCATTGGCAGGTACATTCGTGGCCAACAGGGAAGCCCTACCTCACAGACAGAAAATTCTTGGGGAGTAGGCTGGTTTGAATGGGAAGTAACAAGTGCTGGTTCCAAACCATCACAGCTGCCCAGGTGGCCCTGCTCACACCCACCACCCACCTGGTCAGAGGTTTGACTTGCATGACCTCTCCAGCTCAGACATCACTTCTGACTCAGGGAAACATCTGAGCCTCCTCCTGATGTGCCTGCTCCAGCTGGGATGCCTGGCTCTCACCGGCCCCAGGCCATGCCCTTTACTGTCCCAGCCTCACAGAACAGGCTCAGGAAATGCAAGAGAGGCTGGACTATGCATTCCTGGCATCTTTAACCTTTAAAATGGAAGGTAATCCTTCCTCTTGGACTTCTGCTCCTGGGGACAGGCAACTGAGGCCACTTGTTCAACAAAGCCCATATGTCCTTCTGAGATTCAGAGCAGATCAGGCTGAATGTCTGCCTCTGCCAACCAAGACCTCCCAAGTAACAGGGTTGTCTTTTGCTTTCAACAGAAAACAGTAAAAGGTGACAAGGGCAAATGAAATTTCTGTATTTTGGTAACCAATGTGAAATGCACATTTGCCTACTAATGTTTTACGACTCTTAGCTCTACCTAAGAAGATGCTTCAATTAAGGATTAAGGCTCAGTGGTAAAGAATCCACCTGCCAGTGCAGGAGATTCGAGTCCCACCCCTGGCCCAGGAAGACCCCACACGCTGTGGAGCAACCAAGCCCGTGCACCACAAGTGCTGAGCCTGTGCTCTGGGGTCCCATGTGCTGTGACTAAGCCCGAGCACCCTGGAGCCCATGCTCGGCAACAAGAGAAGCCAGTGCAATAACAAGCCCCGCAACGGGGGCAGAGCCGCCTCACTGCTCCCCGAGAAAAGCTTGAGCAGCAATGGAGACCCAGTGCAGCCAAAAATACAGTGAACAGATTAACAGCATTTAGGTATTAAGCACAAGGAAAGTATTAACAGAGGAACCAATGCAATGAGTGTTGAGAAAGAGCCGTGTGTGTCCAAGACCTTTTGAGGATGACTCAGTGAGGACTTCAGTCCAAATGAGCTGTGAAAAAACTGCTCTTAACAGAGGCAATTAAAATGATGAGACTGAATCAATACGAAGCCCTGGAAGAACCCTTATTTACTGAATCTTTGACAGAAGAAGCCAATCCTTCTGCTCAAACCCCAGTGGCTCTGAGGCTGGCAAGGGCAGCGAGGACAGAAGAGGCTGAGCCTTAGATACTGAAGGGAGGAAGAACGCGTTTCCAGTTGCACGTGGGACACAGACACAAACCCAGCCTCCCTCGAGCTTCCCCCAACAAGTGGATGCTGAAGAAACCAGACGTGCGTGCAATTAGTGATTTTACATGGCTTGCCAGAGCCCCATCGAATAGCCTCTCGAAAACTCAAGTTCACATTGTTCATATTGCTATGGAAACACTCTCCTGTCAAACAGAAAGAAAACCACAGGAGTGAATCTCAAGTTCTATACAAACTGTTACATCTGTACCTGCATGACCATGTGTGAGCACGCGTGCAGGTGCACACACATGCACACACACAGACACACACCACACACATCCTTGGAGAAGCATGCAGATGCTCATCCTCTGGACTGCAGATTTATGTGAAATAGCCTTTTCCAAAAGGAAATGGCTAACCACATCTCCATGAAGGGGATCTACAGAAGTCATTTCTCGTTTGACAGATGAGATGCGGAGGAGAAAAAGTGCCACTAAGCGTGCTTTGGTCTTTCAGGGAGGAACCCTTCCCAGTTCCCTTCCTGGTTTCAGCACTCTCCCCCTTCCCTTGAACACCCCCTCCTTCTCAAGCACTTGAAGTGCCCTTTCCCTTTTTTCTTTTCTTTGTCAGAATGTTCTGAAATTGTAACTTTCTTGGGACTAAATAAGGTATCTGCATTACAGTTCCACAAGAGAGTGTCTAATGCTATGATGAAACATGGGCAGAACTGGAACATTCGCCTTTTCTAGGAGTGGGCACTTAATTTCTAAGGGTCCCCTAGACTTTCTTCTTGAAGACAGGTCCTCACCTTGTTTTGTCTTCATCCCCATCATTCTGGTTAAGCCACCAACGTCTCCCAGCTGGGTACTGAGAGACTTTCTAACTGGTTGGCCTGAATCCAGGGTGGCCCCCTCTGCCATTCCCCCGCTGATGACAGAAGACCAAAGTCTGACGGTTTCATCCTCTGATGAGACCATCTCACTTGCTCGTTAGCTGCCATGTCATCTCCGACTCTTTGTGACCTCGTGGACTGTAGCCCACCAGGCCCCTCTTTCCATGGGATTTCCCAGGCAAGTATGTTGCCATTTCCTTCTCCAGGGTACTTTCCTGAGCCAGGGATCAAACCTGTGACTCTTGCATTGGCAGGTGGATTATTTACCACTGAGCCACCAGGGAAGCCCCTTATCTCTGAGATAAAACCGGAAGTCCTCACCAGTCCACTCACCACCCCCGGAGTGCCCGCACCTCCCAGACATACTGGGTTTGGTTTTCCTGTTGACTGTCATCATTACCACTCATCAGTATATTTTACTTTCTGATAGTTTACAAACTCTGTAAGACCTAGGATCACATCTGTCTTGTTCAGAATGATAATTCCTCTACTCTGCACAATGCCTACCATGCAGTAGGAATTCAATAATTTTGTGTGGAGTAAATGAGTGAATTAACAAATAGGTTCTGGAAACTGATGGTCTAGCTATACACTCCTTAAAGGAAACCCCTCGGTGCTTCGGCCTGCTGTGTTGTCCGGTGTGCAAGTATAAATCTGCATGACAAAAACAGATCTCTACTTATCCAAAATG